AATAAAATGTAGTGGTAATATTACAAACATACTTAGGTAATTAAATACACAATTAATATAATTTTTTTTTAAAGTCTAATATTTAAAATCCTGAAACAATTTTTTATTAAATGCTTTGGTAACAGTAAACTTCACATAAATATAAAAAAGGTCTCACTACAGCTTGAGACTGTAGCCAACTAAATATATGGTATTCCTGTATTAAACAATTTACTAAAAATGAACATAGATCATAAACAAAAAAACTTAAGATCTATATTAAGCATAACTCTTGAGACAAAAAGTCAGTATCAATTAGTATTTAAGTAGCATCTGATTGAAATAAACATAAACAACAGAATTTCTCGGCGCCAACTTTAGGTCAATTGGATTGATAAAAACAAAATGGCCGGGTGCCATCGTGTACTAAAACAAGTTTTTGCATATGCAAATAAGATGATTATTTTATGAAGTAATTTTAGCATAAAATCTGAAGAGAATAACAGCTAATAATAAAGACAGGAAATGGGAAGATTCAGATACCTTAACTTCTAAATTTGGTATCAAATTTCAGAGGATAGAAATCTCCAAACTTAAGTATTTGTATTTATGGAAAAACCACTGTCCCCAACTTTGAACAGCTGACTATATGGAAGACAGCCAGTCAACAGTATCCTACTATCAGTGCCAAGGGATTGTCTGTCATTCTTTATAATGCACCCATAGCTTAAAGTGCGAGAAAGATTCAGTGGTATTAGATGAATTCAGCTCAAAAGTTTTGAAATCTAAAGCTGTACCACAAGGCCAACCATCATCCTCAAACACTGTAAAACATGTATCTTATGATACTTATTAAATCCTTTAAACAAACGTTTTGCAATTCATGAATTTAATTTAAAATACAACATTTAAAAATTATACATCATCAATCTGAGTACGATATATCCACCAAGAATCCTGCTTTAGCATTCAAATAAATATTTAAAATAACACACACACACACAATAAAACTTACATTTCCATCAGCTAGAGCAGAAATAACATTACCAAGGGCAGAAAGAGACTTGTTAATGTTTTTTGCTTCATCTAATACCATTCCTTCAGCTCCAGTTTTACTGACCTACAACAAAATAACAACTTTTAATATAGTGAACATGCATACAAAAATCTGTTAAATGATAATTTACTTCTGAAAGCAGCAAGCTTCTATTAATCATTGCATTTAGTGTTTAAATAATAAAGCTTGTTTTCCTGATCAATGTTTAATAATATTCACAGAAAAACAAAATGCACTATTTAGAAGTTCAAACCAAAATTATTATTTTTTAAAATAATGATCATGTTTGAACAACAAATGTATGTTTTTTCAATTTTTTTTTAAGTTTGACATATAATCATGCTGGACTGAAAGTTTAATCTAGAAATCTTGGGGGGTTTAAATTTTACATTTCCTTCCCTCTATTTTCAAAATGGCTTTGTGGTTTCTAAGACGAATTCTGATATATATAATTTCAATTTCCTCTACAATGTCGTTAGAAAAGAAAGGCATTTGTAAAAGTACATTCCCAAGTTAATTACTTGATTCCAAGCACTTGAATACTAAACTAAATACATTTCCAATAATAATGGTGATCAGTCAGTCCTGAATATGTGCAAATTGGTGTACTAATGCAATACTGAAAATGTGAAAATGCATAATTCAGATGTTACATATTAAAACAGAAATTTGAGGGGGGGTGTGCGTTAGTTTTTATTTCAAACAGATTAGTAAATTAAACCTACTACACTATCGTGCGTAACTCATGGTCAGCTTTTGCAGAATTTTGAGAAAGTAGGCATAAGATTGTGAATAATATATGTATGAAAAAAACTGAAAAAACAACGACAGTGTTAAAGAAAAGAATGAGGATTTTTGCATGGAAGTATAGAGGGAGTCACTGCACATGGAAGTTTGTTGCACTTCTATTGTTGGAAGGTTCTGCAGCAGGATGATGTAAATTCACATGTTGTCAAGTGAAATTATGTGTGAGTTTTCAAAAGGATGGTGACTTTCAAGTCTTTTTGGCAGAACGTGTGAACTCGTACAGCAAGAAGCTACCTGTCTGAAGAGGTGAGCACTTGTTTTAAAAAACAACTAAAAATACAATATGCCCTTTTTTTTTTTTTGGCATAAAGCTACACAATGGACTCCCTATGCTCTATCAACTCCGAGTATCAAAACACACTTTTGATCATTATAACTCCTCAGACTTATAGCTGAGCCAATAAGGAACCTAGATGAAGTGGACTTTTAAGTTCAGAGGAAAATAACAAGAACACGGGTAACCAAACCAAGAACACCAAGTAAATTTTAAAACTATTTAACTATAATGTGCATGTTAACATAAAATTTGGTACTACATTAACTAAACAGAACCAACTGGAATTGTTATGTTTTTGACTAAAACTTTATGTAAGTGACACCTGATAACAGAAGCAATCATTTTGGAAATCAAATCATTCTGTTGAATCAACAAACAAATTCATTTAAAAGTGTGCTTATGAAACCAGTTTTTGTTTTTCCTTACACAATGGTATTAATAGTTTTAGTTTCTTCGTGGCTCAAAAAAAAGAGCAAAGGCATTTACCTTCTACCCCCATTTATGGCATTTTATACATTGTTTATTGATTAGGTGAACTAAAAAAAATGTTGGTATTATTTATTTTTTTCTAGGATAAACTATAATTTGATACTGATGAATCTAACTATTTATCATAAACTTTAAAGTTGCCTTAAAAAAACACATTTTAATCACACGTATAAATACCAGTTCCTCGTTTATTTCATTATCCACAATATAAATACAATATGAGCATTAAAACATGCACCTCTGTTTATCATCTTGTGTACAAATAATTGATATACATATACATGGATCAGAAGAAAAAAAAATTACCTCCAAAAGAGAATAAAAAACCAAGAAGAGTCATTTTTATGTTATACATACAATCTAATCATAAATAGAAGAATTAATTAAAATGCAAATGTACAAAAAGACCTAATTCAGGCTTACAAAGTTGATGTGTATGTTCATATTACTCACTTTCTCACTTCCAGCTAGATCCACAAGGTACAATTTACCACTTAGTTTCTTCTGGTTCTCCAAGTTCTCTTGTTTCACATTGATCAGAAAAACACTATGGCTGCGTGAGCTATGTTCATTCATATCTGAGGAAAAACAGCATTAGTATGAAACCTATATGTTATAATTACTTGTTTAAATGTGACTGTAGGTAAGTTTAAAACATGTAGTACCTAACTGACACATCAGTGGTTTCACAAAAACTTATCTATTACTTATTATTTTATTGTTCTTTACTGAGAAAGAAGGGAAAAAAAAAGAAGAACGAAACAATATTAAGTTTAGGTATGATGTTCGTCACACTATCGCCTGTTGATCTAAGTCGGTGATTTTAAACCAATGTGCTGTGAAACATGCAGTTACGGGCTAAGGTACTGTAATTGCTTTACAGTGTTACAACATAAATATAAGAACTTTAGCTTGAATGTTAGACAGGCTGGTGAGGATGCTAACAAGTCATAAATTACACATGTGGGTCTTTACTATTGTGACAAATAACTAAGTGGGCATGAGGTGCAAAATGTTGAGAAACCCTGATCTAAATTATATAGTTGTATAATGACCAATTTAAATTTAAAAAGATAAAAAAAAATTTGGGGGGAGGGGCGGCAATAAAATGTGAAAAAGTATGGACTTACTTAATGATGAAGTCCAATAATGATAATTTTTGTATTCGAACTATTAATTCTAGAACATGGTAATTAGAAACAGCATCTCAGTAATAAACCGACACATTAATAAGCAACTTTTCCCTCCTTTATAATAAAATCTTATGATAAACAGAATTCATAAGGCTATTGCACTCTAACAAAGGGGTGAAAAAAAAATCACTATACAGTAAATGTTACAATGACCAAATAATCCTATTGAAAACAAATTATTGTTCACGAGATAGATCTATACAAACATGTAATCTGAGATATTCCAACATACAAAGCATCAACAGTATTTTATATCTTTACTACCACACAGATTCAAACCAACAAGAACCCTCAAATACTAGATTTTTACAGAATAAAAAGTTTTTTCTGTTAACATTTTATTTCTAAAGAACTCTCCACAAATACTGGCATTTTATCACATAAAAACAAAAGTATATTTTACACAAATGCTGGAATCCTATAACACACACGTAACAGTAACACACTTTAACCCTTTCGAGCCTGCACATTCCATGGATCACCCATAGAAAATGTGCAATAATAAGGTTTTAAAATTTATTTGCGATTTATCCCAGTAAATTTTTTGTTAAATAAAATTATAACTGAAATACTGAGATTTTATATATATATATATATATATATATACACACACACATTATATATGTTGTTTAGAACAAAATTAATTTTAAAT